AACGAAGAGTTTGGTTCTTCAGCATTGACCTTGGATTTACCAACTAAACCAAACCAAACCAAACCACTCTTCAGCTATCTTGAGCGAAGAGTTTGGTTCTTCAGCATTGACCTTGGATTTACCAGAGGCTGTTGAAATCGTATTTGGTGTGGTTTAAGGCGAGAGAGAGAGAGAGAGAGAGATAGAGCGCGCGAGAGTGAGAGTGAGTGTTAGTGTGTGTGTGAGAGAGAGAGGGAGAGAGAGAGGGAGAGAGAGAGGGAGAGAAAGAGAGACAGATAAGTATGTATGACATAAGATTTGGGGAATTTTGTTTCGACAAGCCTAGCCTCGCCTAGTGTGATCTGTAGAAGATTTTTTTTTTCTTGGCAATTTATTTTTAACATTTCTGTTTATTATGTTGAGATGGGTGTTTAGGAAAGAAAAATAAAACGAAAGGAAAGAAAAATAAAACAAATTAGATTGAAATCGATATATATATATATATATATATATATATATATATATATATATATATATATATATATATATATATATATATATATATATATATATATATATATATATATATATATATATATATATATTTTTTTTTTTTTCTAATATGCAAGTCTCACAACAGAAATAAAAGTTTAAACCAATTTAACATTATTGGGTATTGATATAATAACATTTTTGTTGAACTAATCAAAACACATACACTCGAACTAATTGTGAGGTCTTTTTGAATTTTGATTGTTGTTATAATATTTGCATCTGTTTATATCTTGCCATATTTCAAATTTTACTCTAGACCAGTAACTTCGAGTAACGGCATCATTTATGGTAGCCTGGGTATATTCCTCTTGCATTTCATTCCATCGATACATGTAGTCATAGCAAGCAGATATACAAAAATACTTTCTGTTGAGATTGTCCACACAATTGCTTACCAAATTCCTTTTAATTTCTAGAAGCTCTACACCAGTTGGTAGTCTTGGCTGTAAAATTTGTATGTTTTAAGACTTTGGTAGAGTTTCTGTGCAGTATAGTTTAGGTATTTTAGTACTGTGTGCCTTAATGGATACAGAAAAAGCAAAACATTTTGCTGCACGTACAGCAAAACTGTATACCATTAGATTTTAAACATATGGGGTTTTGAATTACTAATTTTGGCTGAATTCTTCGTCTGTTCTCTTTTGTTGTTGTTGTTGTTGTTGTGAGACTTGTTCTTGACTTATCTTTAAATACCGGTTCCCATTTTTGTAGAGATTATCAGTCTGTATAAAGACAAAACAAAAAAGCATTAGTTTAAATCATTAAAATATTTCTATGAATTTACCTCATAATTTTGATCAGCCCCCCATAAGTGAAAAGTACCATTAAGTAGATTGCTCGAAATTAATCGTTATAACCCCAGGGTAGTGTGTCTGTGTAAATATAATTTACTATTCTTTTATCATCGTATGGGCTAAGAGCTGTTTTACTTTGGACCATGGTAAATACATCATGTTTATCGGATCTTATATAATTTTGTGATACTTCAAGTATGCTATTGTTGAATACACATTCATAATAATCGTTAAAAGATATAAATTTTATAGCTGACGATCGAATTCCTTTAGCCTTTTGACAATTCCAAAATTTGAAAGAGCATTATTTAGATATTTCTTTTCAATACCCCATTGTCTTAAATCTTCAAGTTTTTAGTTTTATCTTTATTTGTTGTATGTAAAGTAAAACAGTACATTTTTTATCGTAATCCAATAAACTCTTTCATTATCTTTCCACTATTTTCATCTTTCATAAGACCTAACACTTTTTTATTTTTTTGCGATATTTCATATACATTATCGGATGGGTAATCTGAGGTGTCAAACAAATGGATATCTTCTTTTATATGTGTATAAATATCATCCACAAAAAACTGGTATATTAAACTGTCTGTATCTGTATACAACAATTTAGCGTTTGAGTTAAATTTTGCTTTAATATAGTTATAATGGAAATCATACAAGATAGTTTTAGAAATATCAAGTATACACATACCAACATAAATGGGTTTATTGAAATTTACTTTTAATCTTGTCATTTCAACTAGAATCATATCTTTGGAAAATATATATACACAACTGTGAAAATTAGGTTGAGAAATATAATAGTTTGCTCCAAATTTTCCCCACCATTTGCCAACCAACTTAACATCTCGGTATTTTTTTACATTCTCAATAGTTTTACCAAATACTGCGTTATTCATTAGTTTGAAAAAATTCTTTTCAAATTCATTTTTACTTTTCTTCCTCAATTCTGTATTTAGATCGATATATTTTTTCAACCAAGGTGACTGTTGAAATTTTAAACATCTATGAATTTTTCCAATTTTAATGCCTAATGCAGCAGCCTGTTTTAAGTTTTTATAGTGAATTACGTACTTTTTTTTATCGTAGAGTGTTGTCAATAATTTGGATGTAAGAGACGATGAAGTTGGTGGCACTAAGTGTTCAGGACATAGTGGTAGATCTTTATGAAGATTAAACAATTCTTTCGGATAGTAAATATCTACTTCTAAAATATATCCGTACTGACTATCGTTAGGTTGATTTAAAATATTTTCATTGTATATATCTATTTCAGATATCCATTGAAAACTTCCTGTAGGTAGAGAACAACTCATTGCAGCGCCATAGAGATTGTTTACATCAAGATACATGAGATAAGATGAAGCTTCGTCTGAGTTATACTCTGTTCCCATGTACTTATTATTGGCCTTACCGTAACGATTCGAACATTGTGAAATGCCACCTCTTATTCCCTTTTCAATAAATAAAATCATATCAACATCAGTAAAAAGTTCTAATTCAACTTGTGTAATTTTTAACATACTATCAAATGCAAGGCCAGGGGCTGTGTAATAATGTAAACTATCAAGTTTATAAGTATCTAAACATACTTTTCTAAAATTTTTGAATATATCTACCAACAGTAACACATCAGTTTTTAGATATAATTCAGCATATTCCCTGATGTTTTGTATATATCGAAAATTTTCCATACATTACACGCGTGTTCATAATCCTTTTGTGATATACCCGATTCATTGATTTTACTATAAAATTTTTCTAGTGGTGGTAAACATTGTTCTTGTAATTTTTCCCAACAGTCAATATAATCATAGGGAAACACTCCTTTCCGAATAACTAAATTAAATTCTGTTTCGTTAGTGTAATGTTTTCTGGTTACAACTTTTTGATCATTATCCAAATAAGAGGATAATTTTTCCAAGCTACTAGCCATAAATCTATACGAATCCAGAAATCTAAAATTGATATTTGTGTCTTGTATGTATTTTGTAAATGATATATATTTTTCTTTATTTACGGGTAACAAATTAATAACTCCAGCGATTTCAGTACAAAGGGCCTTAATCAGGAAATGACTGTCGTAACCAGATAAATTGTGAAATATTACGGGTATGGTATGAGAATTTTTATAATTTAAATTACAAGACTTATGAGCGGCACCTCTGAAACTTCCAGTAAAATGACAATGATCTCTGACTTTCACATCGTCTTCACCGCCAGAAAAAGGTCTATCACAAATGTGACACGTTTGGGAATGATAGAAATCTTGTTTTTCTTGTTCTGATAGTATCATAGGGTGATTCATTGAATATATTTTGTGTAATTTACGTGCAATTTTTTCCAATTTTTTCACAAACCATATTTCACAGTTTTTACCAGTGTATGTTTTAAAAAATGATAACGAGTCATCAAACGAACATTTTACATAGAAAGCTATACTAAAAGGTTCATGCTTTTGGTATTTTGTAGATTTACTTTGAAAATTTTTATCTGTATATTTGACAAGAATGCATTCAATGTCTGCGTAAATTACAAATGGACATGATATTTTATTTGAATAATTTTTAAAACGTAGAATCTTTTTATTTTCCCTTGGTAAAATTATTTTTGATTTATTAAGTATTCTACAGTCATCCCCATGTTTTTTCAAAATTTCTTCAGTTTTAAAATGATTAAGACAACGTTCACAAAACCATTTTTTGTTTTTAACATTTCCACTTTGATTTCCTACTAATCGTGCCAAATTTTTTATATATGCAAAATGAAATATGGGTTGTGTACTTAAATCATCTTCAATTTGATGATGATGATAATGATGATTCAACTCATTTCCATCAGAACAAGAAATAATTAATAAATTTATTTTCTGTGAAAAATCTGTTTTACTCAACATCAGAGGCAATATTTCATTTTTCTTTTCGTTTGAAATACAAAATACATTTATAGCTAAATGGTTCAGCGTTTCAAATTTTGGAATATCTTTTAAGTCTATAGGAAATTTGATACTGTCATATTTCAAAACTTGACTGAAATGGGGATAAGATGTGGTACGTCTAATATTTTTTTTATTATTTTGCGCTGGGTGTAAAGCAGCTACTATTGACCATAAAAAACAATATTCATCTTGGTTTTTAATATTTAAAACACTTTTTGTTTTTAAAATAAAATCTGGTAAATCAACATAAGTTGAAAAACCAACTGTAATGGGATTATATGAATTTATGTTAACTTTTAAAAACCATATTTCACATAAAGCCCAACCACTGTCCCTTTCTTGAAACTCTTCCAATTTAAACAATATTTTATCGAGTACATACATCTTATACCATTCAGTCAGATTTGTACCATAATCAATTAATGTATTTGGTGTATTAAAAGTTTTTACTGATGTTTCAACGGTTTGAGGTTTAATAAATAGGCCACAAAATGCAACATTCACTTTCAACAATGTATTCTGCAATTCTTTTTTAATTCTTATGAAAAAATACGATAAGCTTTTTGAAGAAATTCTTTGGGTTCTTTAAATTTAAAATTTACTGTGACACCAGTCTTAATCCTCCCCTTAAAACACGAATCACCATCTTGCCAAATAAGTTTTCGTTTTATTATACTTTTATTATTTTTAAGATTGAATTTAAATTTTTGAAGATAATATTGTAAAATAGACAGATTAGCTTCTACTTTGTTAAAACAATTTACACAGACCCTCTTTTTGATAGCCGTCTTTAAAATTAAAATAGTTTTTTTAAATGGGCAATATGATAACTATATTCATTTTTTGTTTTGAGCAATCTACTTACTTGTTCAATCTTCTCAACAGCTTCAGTTGACATGTTGTCTAATGTTTGGTTTGACATCTTGTAGTTTTGTGGTTGTATACTGTTGCGGTACTGCTAGGGAACTGATACGTTAAACGCGAATGTTTGTATTATTTATAGGGAGGCTCTGAATTGCAAGCGACGCAATATCTGTAATAGGTGTTAATGGGAAAATAGTAGGGGGGAAAACCGTGAGCAAATATGTTTACTTCAAATGCTAATTTATTTTGTTAATTAGAATAATAAATGTATGCAATTATTCATATAAAAAAAACTACCATTTTAGCATAATTCTAATAATTGTTAATCAAAGTTGTTTACTTAAAATGCTAATTTTATCTTTGTTACTTGGAATAATGATCATTGTATGCAATTTTATTTCTAAAAAACAATTTGCAAACAATGCAACCACAAGATGCACACGGCATTATTTTAACATAATTATAGTTATTATTGGCAAGTTGTTTACTTCAATTGCTAATTTATTGTTTGTTGGAATAATGATCAATGTATGTAATTATTTATAAAAAAAAATTGCGTCAAAGTCCAAGAACCACAAGACGCACACGGTACCATTTTAATATAATTATATGAAACGTATTTGCGCGCATTTTTTTTCCTTCTCCCCACAACTACTATTTAAACAGAATTCTGTGCAGTTCAACACATCAGTATCAAGTGTATCACACAACCAAACCAAACCAACCATGGCATCAACACCAACGACAATCGTAGTGCTAACGCAAGATAAAGTGAATTTTCCCATGAAATACGCGTATGTCGTGATGAACCAGTTATTTCAGTAAGTACCATTTATTTTTTGCATTGTATTTTTTTGCATTTTTTGCATTTAGAGAAGTAACATTTAAAGTATAAAAATTAAACCAAGATTTAAAAAACACACTTCAAGATTTTAAGATTTCAAGTATACAAGTTGGAAAAAAACTATTTTTGCACCACTACCACCACCACGGTTCTTATTGTTTTTTTTGTTTTGTTTTAGATACGGAGTTAAAGAAATTACCCAGAAGGACGATAAGATATTTATATCTTTGACTTACACCCCTAGAGCCACAACACTTAAAAAGAAATTTGGGAATCTACCCATAAGGTACATGAGAACGAGGGTCCAAAATACTGAAGATATTAAAATTTTAGAGAAAGTTGTAAAGAGGTACAAGTTTAACTTAATTGACGAAGATCGGGAAGACACGGAGCAGCGGCAACAAATTATACAAAAAAGGAAATTGCAAATTACGGATGTCTACACATCGGGAGAGGAAGAGGAAGAGGGAAACTAAGATGTAGATGAGGTGGATAAAGGTGTTATTGCTTGTGGTGGTTCTGGTGAAAGTCGTTCAAAGAAGTAAGAAATGAAGAAATTCAGATGTAATTATTCTAGTTATGGTAAATAAAAAAGTCTGTATTATACATTTTTAGTTTTTTTTATTTCATTTCTTACAATAAATGTACCAATAGTATAAGAAATATACATTTTCAACTGCACAATACATATTACTATTTAAATGTTTTAAACAATGGTAAGATTTGAATACATTTTTCAACTGATCAAAAGATGGACATCTTTCTTCATATAAATCAATTATTTCATTGTCGAGAAACTTTTCCAACCATTGCTTCTTTTCTAGCCCTTTAACAGCAACAACTTCTGAACACACATATTTTTTAATAAATCTTGAAATATCTTCATATGGTAAATATTTTCCTTCTTCTTCATGTAAAGCATCAAATTCTAAGCCATGTAAATTGGAAGTTACCCATTTCATATGATTTTTCACTTTTGAATTGTATTGGTTCAATTCAAATGGATAACTTATAAATTTATGTGCAGCCAAATTTCCGTTGTTGTTAACGTTGACTATTGCAAATTCCTTGCAAATAAAATTTCCCGGTCCATACTGAAAGCCTTGTACATCAATAATAAACATTTTGCTGATGGTCTGTTTGCTTGGACCGACTACGAGCGACTACGAGTATTTTTGCTTTTTAGAGTACTCTTATAGTACTGGTTAGTGGGTTGTACTTAACTAATTTATCATGTAAAATTAGACAATAGGCAGTAGTCTTGGCAGGTGTTGACTCGCCTGTTTCAAATTCGATACGAATATCGACTGCACCACCCTTTAAAATATCCTTTCCTTGTCGTGAACAATCAATGACCACTAGAGGGGCATTGTTCTTGAAATGAATGGGATAGTAGGTTGGTTCACTAAACGGTTTATAGTAGTATGATTTTTGGAACTGAGTGTACATTTCATATAGGACTGCATATCTATTAGTGAAATCCAAGTTTAAGTTGTCATAAGGATATACTTCTGAGTTTAAATATACTTTTAAATTGATCAAGTTACAGTGCTGAAATCGACTCATATTTTTTGCTATATTATTTTTTACATCTGTATGAAATCCAATAATAATATAACGAGGCTTTTCCAACTGATTGCTCGATTTAACAGCCCATGTATGGTTTTTAGTTTGTTGCAATTCTGGATATTCATGCAGTTCCCAACTCCTAAAGGCAATCGGTAAATCTCTATTGTTTTCAAAATTTTTTAGTAATCGTAACTTTTGACTATCATTAACTGATATATGGGGCATTTTCCACAACACTTTATTCAAAGTGACCTTATAGGTAGTGTCCTTAGATTTGACGATTGAATTGCATTCAAATCAGAATTGCTTCGTATGAGAACTAGTTCTTGTTTTACATTCATTACAATTTTATGATAGTCTTCAGCAAAACCCATCAACATTTTCAATGGTATACAGACATTAAAATTTCCATTACTATCGATTAATGATGGATTCTTCGTATCATGCCATCCAGCGTTATGTAATCCGTTAGCCTCTGTAGGAGTAAATGAAATATATCCTTTCATAGTTGATGTAACTCCAGGATTTCTAACTCTATCAACAATCACTCCACCCATTTCATAACGAATTTCATCAAACAGAAAAGCAACACCATTATTCACAAATTGTACATCAGCACTTGCTGTGTTGTCAGATTGTGTTAATTTTCCTTCAATATAGAGGTAACTTTGACTAGGTAGAGTATACAGATCTTGGGTTTGTATTGGGATTCTAATTTCATCGTTGTTGTTCAAGGTTGTAGATGAATAGGGTTGGTGAGTGTGATACTGATAGCTCACTATTGAATCATCTTGTGCAACACTTTCATTAACTTTTAAAATATTATAGCTCATCTTTAGTGGTATACTTACACATACAATATAACCATAAACTATTAAAACTGGTTCTGAAACGGAGTTTCAAGTTTACCCAAAATTTTCTAAATTTCTTAATGTTGCTGCTGCTTCTTCTTCTTCAGTTTAAATCCCAATGATAATAGAAACTCTTGATTGGTAGGTATTAATTCTTTCAACTTGTGTTTGCTACTGAGCCGTTTCAATAAAGGTCTGCTACTTATATGTACTTCATTAGATGGTAAGTATGAATTGTGATTATATATAAACACCATTTTTCTTTAAATGTAAACGTATCGTTACGAGTTCGTTTCTGAAATTAACCAGCTTTCCATTTTGATCGGTTATTTTAAGAATAATTTCATCAACATAGCGCATGCTTATTGGTAGATAAATTACATTCGATGGCTTTTCAACTATTTTAAAGCCTGGAGCGGTTGTAGGATAGAACATGTGGATGATATGAACCGGTTTTCCATTATTATATGAATTTGTGACAAGATTACATTCAATTGCTATACTATTAACTTTGAAAATATCAACAGGATTTTCCGAAGTGTACTTCTTGTTTGCCTCCAATATCTGATTGTTAAAGCCCAACAGACTTCCAATCGAGTTTTCCTTTGTAAAATCAACAGTTTTATTACACTTTAATTGACACTGTAAAGTATTATGATCAGCCTCTATACTAATATACACATGTTCATTCTCCTCCCCCTTGGCATGTTGAGTGGCAAAACCCCTGGCAAAACAACCATTTTGTTATCGCCATAATAAAAAATATTGTTGGAACTATCAATATTGGGAATGGAATTGTAACTTTCAAAGTTTATTAGCCCCAAAACGTATTCTTCACTCTCATCGAGAACGGTAGGGGGATATATCGTTGTCGAAAGTATTGATTCTCTGCCTGATAGAGTAAACGTGTACGACATTGTGGAAAGTTGAATGGATAATAAAACATAATTTTTAAATATTGCTATTTATTAAGAAATTTAAACACAAATGACCACAATTTACAGTATTATAAGTTTGATAAGATGTATGATTGTAAAATATGCTACAGGATCCGTTAGAATTAAAGTACTTTTTAAGTTCTAATGGTGGCGTTAAATTACCATAACTATCAAAATAATAAACATTTTTTATATTCTTCTTATAAGCAGTCCAATGAGTTCCAGGTCCTGACATATTGTCGAGATTAACTATTCCCGATTCAAATTTTCGAATTTTTCGCGGCAAACAGTCTTTCATAAATACACCTCGAAAATATGGAACTTTCATCTTCCGAGCAAACACTGTCAATTCGAAATTGTTAAGAGCATGTTTAGGTAATGTTAGGGTTGTTTTTTTGATTTGAAACCTTGGTGTAAAAAAGCCCTAATCCAGTCTTGTATGGTTTTAAATACATTCCTTTGCCCATTGCAATAGCTTCAATGGTTTTGTTGTGACGTTGGGCTTCATTGAGTTGTTCTTTTGCAGCCATTGTTTCCTTTACAGCTTTTACAACATTTGCTATTCCACCACTGAGGGCACCTAATGCACTTAGACCAGCAAAAATAGGTATTAATGGTAAAATACCTCCAGTTTTTGGGATTTTTATAACGCGAGGGGTTTTGATGGTTCCTCCTCCTCCTCCTCCTCCTCCACTAGTCCTTGCTGTTTTTAATCCTATTTTTAAAGCATTTTCAAGAGACTTTGGTTGTTTTTCCAGTATAGCCCCTTTAATTGCTCTCGTTACCGATTGAAATGATTTTTGCCGCAGTTTTGCTGCTTTGCCTTTTCTACATATTTGTTTTGGTTTCGTACAGTTAGCTTTCTTTGTTGTTGTTCTCTTTGCCGTCTCGCTGCTTCGATTAATCTAATTATACATTTGTTGTAATTTAAATATACTTGACTTTTTTTAAAGAACGATCATCAATGTCATCGTCATCATCATCATCATTATCGTCATGTGACCGTTTCAAACATGTTTTAACTCTTTTACTACAATTAGTAGAAAACTCATCATTTAAACGTCTTTTGGTCATGTATTGATTGTGGTGGTGGTGGTGGTGGTTGTGCTGATGATGATGATGATAATAAATTGTTTTCTATTTCATTGACAATTTTATGTTTAAAACCCAAATTGCCATCAAATGCCTTGTCGTCGTCGTTGTCATCGTTGTTGCTTTCCAACTTGCGTTTTGTACCCCTTTTCATTGATTTTATCAACTGTTGATCATTTTTGATAACCTTCTTCTTCTTCTTCATCATCTTCTCGCTTTTAGTCGTTTTATTATTTTTTTTTCACATTTTCAATATGTTGCTTACATTGTATATCCTCATCATCATCATAATCATCATCTTGAAGAGATTTTACAAGTCTTTGTTTTTTATTTTTGTTCAATTTTCTCAGCGGGGTTGTAGTGGTGATGGTGGTGGTGGCAGTTGTTTTTGGTAAGCTAGTCTTTTTTGAACAATTTTTACGTTTTTGCTGCTTGTTCACAGCCTCATCGTCGTCGTCGTCGTAGTCGTCGTTGTAGACTTTTCCCTTGGTTTTTCTTAGCTTATTCAGACTTTGACGACGACGACGAAGAAGACCTTGATCTTTCAATAATTCCATCTTTTTCAAATAACCTTGCATATATTTTATACTTTGTTCAATTATATTTAGCGTTTGTCGTCGTTGATGCTGAGACTCGAATAAACTCTTTTCATTTGTGTCTTCTAATTTATTGATTCCAATGCCAAACTTTAACTTTGTGTGCATTGCGGTGGAAACACCTAAAACCGCTAATTTTTCCTTCCACGCAGCATCACTTGACATGACTCTACTTAGGGCTTTTTTCAGTAACAATCTATCGGCTTGATGACGATTAGGTAAATATTTTTTGTTTGAATAGGCTATATCATGTTCCTTACATGCCTCATCTAACATATTAATACCTTTGTCACCGCGTTCTAAACGTTCGTTCAATTTGGTACCTGGCCCACAATAATTGTATCCTGGTAAGTGTAACTCAAATGGTAAATTGTTTATTACAGAGTTTAAAAGTCCATTTCCTATATGATTCTTTTGCTGTTGCTGCTGCTGCTGCTGCTGCCGCTGCTGCTGCTCAAGCTGCTTATTTATGTAATATTTCATGATTGCTTTCCAATCTAATACTAAGTATAAATTATACTATCTACAATTTTTATATTCATTTATCTGACAGTTTTATAACTATGAAGAAGGTTGTTAAACAAAAGACAACTTTAAAAGTTGATAATCATGATGCTACTACCAACAAACAACTTAAGCACA